AGAGCTTGCCATAGCCGATGGGGAAGAAAGGTTTGAGGAATGTGACCAACTCATCGGGGAGCTCGCCAAGAGTGGCGACGAGCTTCGTGGAGAGGTGCAAGGAGCGGTCAATGAGGTCCTCGACCGGTGTATTTCCGAGGTCAAAGGCGTGGAAGGGGCTTTAATGACCATGGTTGCTTCATTGCGGGAAGAGTTGGAGAAGGTCACCAAGGAGTTGGTGGAGACCAAGGAAGAGCTGGCCCTGTGCTAGATAGGCGGTGGCGTAAGGAGGAAGCACATCGTCTAGCGAGGTAAGTCCTACTCCTTCCAAAGTAGATGTGCCTAGACCCAAGACGTACCAGGGTGCTAGGAATGCGAAGGAGATAGAGAACTTTGTGTGGAGTATGGAGCAATACTTCAAGGCTCTTGGTATCGGGGATGATGCCAAGAAGATAGACACGACCACCATGTACTTGGAGGATACCGCGATGTTGTGGTGGAGAAGGAAGTATGGGGACCGGGAGAAGGGTCTTTGTACTATTAACACGTGGGAAGAGTTCAAGGGTGAACTCAAGAAGCAGTTTTGCCCTATGAATGCGGAAGAGGAGGCGAGAGCAAAGCTAAGGCGTTTGCAACACAAGGGAAGCGTGCGCGAGTATGTGAAGGAGTTTACCGAGGTACTCCTAGACATCTCGGATTATCCCGACAAGGAAGCTTTCTTTGCATTCACGGATGGTTTGCAAAACTGGGCTAAGATCGAGGTCCAAAGACGTGGGGCTAGAGATCTCGACACTGCCATTGCCATTGCCGAGTCCTTGGTGGAGTTCAAGAAACCGGAGAGGGAGAGGTCGCCACCTAAGGAAAGGGATGAGGAAAAGAGTGGGGGAGACCACCGTGCTCACAAAGAAGGTTTCCAACGCTTTGAGAAGAACAAGGGACAAAAGGAGACCAAGGAATGGGAGAAGAGACCATTGACGTGCTTCTTTTGTGATGGGCCGCACATGGCAAGGGATTGCCCGAAGAAGGCCAAGCTCTCGGCCTTAGTTGAGGAAAGGGAAGAGCGGGAACGAGAGGAAGCTACGGTTGGTTCCCTCAGACTCCTCAACGCTATACAAGCCAAGGTAACCGAGCCCAAGGCGAAGAAGAGGGGACGTTTGTTCATTGAAGCCAAGGTACGTGGACAACCTATTAAAGCTTTAATAGATACCGGCGCTTCACACAACTTCCTTGAGATTGACGAAGCAAGGAGACTGGGAATCCCCTATGAAGGAGAATTGGGTCGGCTGAAAGCTGTAAACTCACAACCTACGTCGATCTACGGAGTGGCTCGGGGTGTGAAGGTTACCTTGGGAGAGTGGAGCGGATTGATAGATTTCATGGTCGTTGATATGGACGACTATCATATAGTGTTGGGCATGGAGTTTATGGATTCGGTGAAGGCAATACCGATTCCATTTGCCAACACCATGTGCATACTTGGAGTAGGCGAGAATTGCACAGTGAAACTGTCTCGAGAGGAGAGGAGCCAGTCCAAGCAAATCTCGTCCATGCAAGTTGTTGAGGGCATGGGAAGGCGGCAACATAACCTAGCCACCTTGAAGGAGGAACCAATGCCGATGAGTGATACGGCTAAGAGGGTGGCTAAGGCACATGTGAGAGCCAAGGACGTGGTGATGTCCGGGTTGCCGAGGAGACTTCCGCCCAAGATAGAAAAGATGGAGAGGAACAACGTGGCGGGTGCGCAAAGTAAGGAAGCCAAGCTAGCCGCCAATAAGAGGCCGAGTTTCCCTTTGGTGGAACAAGTCAAGGGAGGACTTGAGCTAGGCCCTAAGGCCAAGGGGTTGAAGAACTTGGCAAGTCAAGGTAAGACACGCCAATTCTGGCCAAGGGAGGGGTTGCTAGCAACAAGGGAAGACCGAGTCTACGAACCAAAACAGCAAGGCCTAGGGAAGGGAGCCACAGTCAAGTCGTCCCGAGAAGAGGTTTACAAGAAGACCACGACGAGGACGTCGTGAGATTGAGTGGGGGAGAATGTGACGCCTCTCCCAAATATCGAAGTCTGCCGCGGCATAGCAGGCACTTCAGGCCGCGGCATGGCAGGCAAGTGCGCCGCGGCATAGAAGACAAGTACGCTGCGGCGTGGCAGAGTGATATGCCGCGGCATAACCGTGGCAAGGGACAATGCTGGAGTCTAGAACTTCCCAAGAGAGAGGGGCAGATTTCCGGAGGCTTATAGAATATTCTAGACTCATGTAGATAGGAGTATACTTGTATAGAGTATAGTGGAATACTCTAGAATATTGTAGAGTAGTATAGAGATGAATTGTAGCCATTAGATCAAGTAGATCTAAGCCGTCCATTGAGGAGGAGGACAAGTATAAATACCCCTCAAGGTTGGCTCATTTGTAAGCATCCAACCATCGAGTAATCAAGCATTTGAGAGCAATAAAGCATTGTACACGTTTCTCCACAATCGGTGTCCTTAGAAGTTAGGCTGACTAGCATAGTTTGAGTGAGTGTGCTGGTGCCGCACGGGTCTTGAGAATAAGTCCGTGACATAGGCCTTCGGGTGGTTCGGCCATTCATTTGCATTTTTGCTTTTTATTTAGTTTTCCTTTCTTATTTGCATTGGAGTTCAAATTGAATAGACCTTACTTTTCCCTAAATTTTTTACCCACGTTTGAAATACACCATGTTCATTACTTTGCCATCTCAACAGCAATGTACAACCACATTGGAGTTACTCTCATTACTTTGCCATCTCAGCAGCAATGTACAACCACATTGGAGTTACTCTTATAGCGTATGTTTGGTTCAAGGAATGTCTGATTATCATGGGAATGTCAGATTACTGGGTATGTTAGATTGATGGGAATGCATGCATTTGTTTCTCATTTGTGTTTGGTTAAGATTAAGGGAATGTGACATTAATTTGTTTGTTTGAATGATATCGTACATTGCAGACTTGATAAATTACTTCAGTGCCCTTCAAATACTTTCTCTTAAACAATAAATTTATTACAACCTACATTCGAAAGTAATTTAAATTAAAGAAAAAAATGAAATATCTTAGTAATAAATAAAATAAAAACTAACTGAATTTTTTTAGTGAACATTAGTAAGCATTATTGTTTGGCCTTTTTGCAAAAATATAACTAAGAGAAAACTTATTAAAACAAATATGATTAATAGTTACTACAATGTAGTTTTATGGTAACTTAAGTTTAGAAATAGAACGTAAGTTACTCTAATTTCATTACTACTCTAGTCAATAGTCACATTTTTGTAAACAATATTTATTCTAGTCATATATATGTAATTATATCTTATTATATTGTTTAAGTAAATGCATAATGAAACACATTAAAAATAAAGGTGAATATTCCATTACATTAGCATCTCTAGCAAAAAGCAAGTAAAAAGAGGTTCTCTTGATTAAATGAGTAGGTATTTTTGGAAGAAGTGTTATAATCAACCAGACATCCAAGATAACCTAAGAGCTTCATGGGTTTAGCATTACTGGGCATGAGATTACATTCCTCACTTTTGGGAATGTTAGAGTCTGTTTAGTAACAGAGATATTTTCCTGTTTTCAACTTCTGTTTTTCGTTCTCCAATTTTATGTTTTTATTTTTCAGTTTTTCTATCTCCAATTTTATGTTTCTATTTTTTAGTTTTCCATTTTCAAATATGAAAACATATTCATCAATTTTTTCACCCAGTTCTCCAATTCCACACCCTTGACTCATACCCCTACCCTTACCACGATCTTACACTCTATCCATACTCCCCCACAACCCTTCATACCCACCCATACCTACTCTTAGGGGTCAGGGTAGGGAAGTCATGGGTGGGGTGGGGTAAGGGGTATGGTCGGGTGGGGTGGTAAGGTCTAGGGGTAGGGGTAGGATGGGGGTAGTGGGTGGGTTAGGGTCGTGGTTAGGGGTAAGGGTGGGGTAGTGGGTAGGGTAGGGTTGGGGTAAGGTAGGGGTAGGGTAGGGAGTTGGGATAGGATGGCAGTGGGGTGTGGCCGGGGACCAGGGTGGGGCCAAGGTAGGGAAGGGGTAGGGTGGGGTGTAGGATGGCAGTGGTTGGGGTTGGGGTAAGGTAGGGGTAGGGTAGGGAGTTGGGATAGGATGGCGGTAGGGTGGGCCCGGGATCCGGGTGGGGCCGAGGTAGGGGAAGGGTAGGGTGGGGGGTAGGATGGGGGAAGGGTGGGGGTAGGATGGCGGTGGGGTGGGGCCGAGGTAGGGGGCATGTGGTAAGGGGTAATGTAGGGGTAAGGGGTGGGGTCGAGGTGGTAGGGGGTAGGTAGGGTGGGTCAGGGTGGGGTTAGGGTGGTAGGGGGGTGGCGGTAGGGTAGGGTGGATCGGGGTGGGGCCGAGGTAGGGGCAAGTGGTAGGGGGTGGGGTAGGGTCATTATAGGGAAAATGGGTACACGGGTTGGGGGTTGGGGTGGGTAGGGTATGGGTAAGGGGTAAGGTACGAGGATAGAGGTACCGGAATGGAATCGATATCAGAGCGGGACCGGACCCACCACTAGGTGTAAGTATGCAAATTCATTGCAGCGGCGCTGTAGCATCTGCGTTTTCCAAATTTGGATAACTAGTAAAAGTCACTTCTCCAAATCATTAAGGAAAAGAGAGACATGTCTCATTTTTTACGTTTTGGAAAACGATATGGTAAACACGTTTTTCTTTTTCCTTTCTCCAGTTTTCCAGCAATTTTTTGGTAAACTTATTTCCTGTTTTCAGTTTTCCAGTTTTTTAGAAAACTGGAAAATATCTCTGTTAGCAAACAAGCCCTTACATTCCCATTTTTTTAAACCCGCGAACCAAACGCGGATATCTTAGATTCCAGACATCAGATTCCGACATGCACACAAGATTACCTCCAATCAAATGTGCCCATAGTCATATGAGTACGGTGGCCTCATTCTAACTACTCATATTTTTAGTGAGGTGTCCAATAAAAAAATATAAATGATTAGAATGGTGCCACCGTACCTTCACAAGTTCACAAATCATTAATTCAAAAGTATATTAGCGACAGCTTTCTCGACCATTTGATTGATTAATAAACCTAGAGAAGAAACAGGGGAGCCCAGAGACGAGAAAAAAAAAAATACTTCCTCCGTTCGGAAAAGAATGCAACATAGGGCTGGGCACAGATATTAAGAAGGACAGAAACAGTAATTATCTTTCCTATTTTGCCCTCCACTACACGGACAAAACATTAAAGCACATAAAGTGCTACAGTGCACATCATCTTTGCTAAACCACATCAATTTATCTCCTTTTGGCACAGCGTTTTTTGTACACTCCACATACGCAATCAAGAACGGATCGTCACGTTTACTGATCATCCCCTTTCGCGACGAATTTCTCGGCACCGGTGGAGCCGTGTACGGCGGTGGAGGAATTTGCAGGCCTCGGTGGTATTTCAGGGGAGACGTCCTGCATCCATCATGCGCCGCCGCGCGAGGCGGAGGTGGAAGCTTGGGGTGATGAACATGAAAGATTGGCACTGCCGCCTTTCTGATCCCGGGTTTTCGTTCCTAAGAAAAAGGCAAGCCTCCCTTGGAAGAAAGGATGTGCTTTTCACTCATCAATGTAAAACCCTTTCTCTATTTCTCTTGGCGGGGTATTCATCTATGACCATGTCTTTCATTTAAACTGTAATTGAAGTAAAAATATGAGAAAACAAAAAAAATGAAGAAGATGGTGAAGAGAGAAATAAAGAAACGATTGAGTGGGTGAAGAGAATCGGTGGAAGAGAAGGGCTGTAAAGAGAAACGAAATGGGTGGGTGCCGGTGGGTGGAGAAATTAAAGAAAATGTCAGAAGAGGGAGGGAGTAAATAATGGAGGGTATAAAAGTCACTTTGGATAATATTTCCTTCCTAAAATAGAAATGTTGCATTTAATTTGAAACTGCCGATAAAGGAAAGTGTTGCATTTATTTAAGAACGGAGGAAGTACAAGAGATAGAACTCCTTTCACTCAAAATTAGATCAACTCTCAAGCCTGCCTTCTTATTTATTGAGATGATACAGCAAAACCTTTTGTCTTCTTTAAATTGACATAAAAATCCAATCTTTTCTCACTGCGGGGTTTCCCTCCTTAAACACCAAGCTCTCACCTTCTTTTCCTGTAATGCTTATTTCTGTTGGGTTTTAGCTCTTCATATTAACGAGTCATTCTTGAACTTGAAGTATAATAACGAGTCATTCTTATTTTCAATTGTCCCTCTAATGCAGACTGGTGTGATAGAAAATATTGTCGAAGTATTTTCCCAGATCCCTCTGGTATGGCATTGGTTCTGATTATATTGCCTTACTAATATATTTTGGTGTTTTGAGGTAAAAAATTCAACTTTATCAAGTCAGATTTTAGATTCTTGTAGATTGAGGGGATTTTTGAAATGGATAAGTTACAGTGGGGGAATAGAAAAAGGCTAAGATGTATGAAGGTGAAGGAATCTTCTTCTAATGGGAAATCCGATGGTTCTATGATGAAGAGGAAAACGGTTAGAGTTGATAATAATAAGGGGACTATTTCTCCTCCCCATCGTTCCAACAGGTATCTATACCTTGAATGATTATTATTTTGTTTATTTGAATACTTATGGTTGGCTGTTTTTGTTTGGATCGTTGGGTATTACGTTTTTATAAAGCTGCAATTTTTTTCAAAGCTCCATTCTCGATCTGAGACTATTGACAACTAATATTCTCTTGGATGATGAAATTTGAGATTTTTGAAATTTTGAAAAAGAATTTTCATCTTTGAATAGCTCAAACTTGGATCTGTATCCTTTCCCCTGTTTTTCATGATATTTTCTTTTTATTTCTGGAAATTATTTCCCCACAAATTGATGAAGATAACTTTGTGTAGTTGATAGTTGTTCTGAAGAAAAGACCAGATTTTGGTAAGTTTTATACTCCGTATACTAAAAGGAACAGAACCTAAATTTGTAGCCAGTGTAATTCTCGTAAGCTATCCAGACAAGGGACTTCCTCTGGACGCAGTAATATTATCAAGAGTATGAACAATTTATATCAATACTTTAGTTCTTTGATCTAGAACTTTATTTTATTACTTTGCAATGTGATGGTATGATGGAGAGTTGATGATTAGGAGGATTTTATCCTAATTTTCCCATGGAGAAGAAAACTTCAGATATGAAAAGTGGAATTTTGCATGAGTTTATAGTCCAAGTAATTTTACAGTTTTAACCAACACTATAAGTTTTGACTTAGATTGATTTTATCAATGCTTGTCCTTTTAGAAAATCAAACCGATTCAGTCATTTCAGCAAAATGATCTTGACATTGCTTGGCTCTAACTACTTGGGTTTAAGGCGCTTTCAATGCCGATGCTGATTAAAGATGTAACTTTCGATCAAAAAAACCACTGTTTTGGCGCATTGTAGGGATTTGGGGACAGCTAGGTCTAGTGCGAATGAGTTTAGAAAGCCAATGACATCATCATCTCCTGAGAAAGAGGACAGGTATTACACCACAAGAGGGTCGGTTGGATTGGATGATCATACCAAGTTGCTTCCGAATCCAAAGGAAGAGAAGAAGAAGTTCGTTTGGCCCAAGCTACTCGTCACATTGTCTAGCAAAGAGAAGGAAGAGGATTTTATGGCAATGAGAGGTACCAAACTTCCTCAGAGGCCTAAGAAAAGGGCGAAGTTGATTCAACGAACCATTCTTGTAAGTTTCCAAACACCTTTGTTATAGAAAAAGAAAAAATGACCTTCCTTGTTTTAGTATTTTCTTAATTTCTGCTAAATCTGCTAAATTATTTCCTCGCTTTCCTTTTTCATGTAGTTAGTGAGTCCAGGTACATGGTTATCTGATCTGTGTCAGGAGAGGTATGAGGTGAGGGAAACCGAAAAGAAGACTTCCAAGAAGGTATCAAAATCATTTATGTTAAGATACATTAGCAGAAATAAGGGGCTGTGATAGCAGTTACATTAAGAAGTATCAAGAGTAAAACCATCAAAAAGTGATGAAAATTTTGTTGTTGTGAATTTTTCAATGATGAAAGAAACTTTTATTGTGAATTTGTATGATATTTTGATTCTTCAATCTGTTTATTTATTAATTTACTAAGAATATAGATCTATTTGAGCAGAAGGGAAATGTATTTCTGCCATATCTCGTCCATAAGGGAGCCTAGAGGCCTAATTGTAATAAGATTATTATATGCAAAAAACCAAAAGTAAAATATGACATGTAAATTTATGAAGGACGAACCCACCACTTCGATATACTTTTGGGACTAGAAGTGGTGACACTAATATCTTAGAGACTAATCTACTATAATCCCATAACTGAGGGACCAAAAGCATCGTTTTCATATTAATTTGAATACTACTGAGTTTAATCAGCAGCTTAAACATCCTTCACTTGTTTCAATACTTTAATACAAACTGTGTGGCACTAATGTGAATGTTTTTGGAATGGTGTATGTGGTCTTAGAAGCCAAGAGGGTTGAAGGCCATGGGAAGCATGGTAAGTGATTCAGAATAGGATTTGGAGGAAAAGACAGAAGCAGATCCCCTTAGGTTGGGATGTGATTTTGGTGGTTCTGTTTTGTTGAAGCAGCAAAGAGATTGTAAGATTTTGAATGGCTTCTATTCTCTTATCCCATATGATGAGTGGTGGGCTCTTGGGTCTTTTTTCCCTTGACATCTTTGGCTTTTTTTTTTTTTTTTGAAATTCCATTCACTATACTTGTTCTATGGATTCAGTCAAAAAGATGCTTCCCTACTTTAATGCCATTGTGCTCTATTTGACCTTGAATTATTTTTTCCATAGGTCCATAGCTGTCACACGTTCCTCTATAAAAGAAGAAATAATAAAACATTATGTTTACATGTATTTTTATCTTTTAAATGAATCTTATTTACACAGCAGCTTTTTATCCCCCCCCCCCCCTCCCACTATGGAGCCAACTGCCCATTTTTCTATAATTAAGTGTCGTATTTATTTTTTTAGTTTTCTAAAAGAAAATCTGTCTACTGTGTTTGGTAACAAAAAGGATACATATGACTAAATTTTATTGGGAATCTTTCTCAAATAGGATAAAATGATAAACTAATATCACTTGTTTCACCTTTGATTTTTTATTTTAAAAAATTGACTACGCAAGACCTTCTTTTCAATAATGTACCCCCCTATTTTATTGGTAATCTTTCTCAAATAGGCTACAATGATAAATTAATATCACTTTTCCCACCTTTGATTTTTTATTTTAAAAAATAGACTATGCAAGACAATCTTTTTGTTTGTGACACAGACAAATATGTGAAAAATGATTCTATTTACAAAACAATAAAAACAATTGTGCATAACCAATTTGACCGGCGAGTAAAATGGCGTGTATAAACAACATTTCTCGATTTTACACAAAAGTGGCTTCATTGAGAAATTTACACAATTTTATTTCTGTTGTGAAATGAAGAAGATGCAGAACAAATTTAAGAGAGAGATATATAAATAATAAGATCTAAATTATACTTCTTCTTAATATCAAGATTTTCTGAATTTCTGAGTGAATTTACATGGCTTCATCAAACTCCTATTTATAGTGTTTGAGCTTGATGATTAGTCACCTAAATGATGAGTCTACAGATATGGTGGCAATAACAAATTGAATCACCTACTCTCTAACTAGGTTACACGGATCATTATAAGGTTCAGGAACATCTTGGTGTCCTAGTGACAAGGATGAACAATTCAGACTTGTAAATTTGATGGTTTTACAACACTCCCCCTTGAATGTTCATCCTTGAATATGTATTTGTTATCTTATTGTGAAAATGAGTGTGAAAATTAAGGGGTAGTCATTTGAGATGTTTGTTTTTTCAATATCATTTTCTATGCCAGTATTTTCAAATTGTTCATTTTCTTGTTCAGAAGGATGAACATCTTTCATCACAGATCAATTTCTGCCTTTTAGTTTTCTTGGTTTTATGTCTTTTGATCATAGTGGCCTGCCACGCTTTTTGCGTATAAAAGAATCATTTGCAAGAGATTTTTCAGAATTCTCCACTGGGACTTCGATTCTGGCAGGGGCATTCATAGCAGGAATATGTGACTTTGTCACTTTCTTTGTATCTGTGAATGCATCAGGCAACTGATTTGCAACATTTTGTAAATGAATTATCTTTTTCACCTCTTGCTCACATATATTTGATTTAGAATCAAGGTGTGATAATCATGTTGCATTCCATGTTATTTCTTTTGTACTTGGGTCCGATTTATTAGTTTCTCCCCCTAAGGTTGGGAATACTGTCTCATTGAAATGACAGCCAGCGAACCGTGCGGTGAATAAGTCACTAGTCATCCGTTCAAGATATTTTATTATTGAGGGAGATTCAAATCCAACATAAATTCTCAACCTTCTTTGAGGACCCATTTTTGTATGATGAGGTGGAGCAATCGAAACATAAACAGCACAACCAAATATCTTTATGTGTGCTAAGTTTGGCTCTTGTCCAGTAACTAATTGCATTGAGGAATATTCATGATATGCAGTCTGTCTAAGCCGAATTAAATTTGCTGCATGCAAAATAGCATGTCCCTAAGCTGATGAAGGTAAATTACACTTCATTAATAATGGTCTGGCGATTAATTATAATCGTTTAATTAAAGATTCAGCAAGACCATTTTGTGTATGGACATGAGCAACAGGATGCTTCACATCAATCCCAATCGACATACAATAGTCGTTAAATGTTTGGGATGTAAATTCTCCTGCATTATCAAGTCAGATTCTTTTTATAGAATGATCCGGAATATGAGCTCGTAATCGTATGATTTGAGCAAGGAGTTTAGCAAATGCTAAATTTTTAGTCGATAAAAGACTAACATGTGACCAACGTGTTGAAGCATCAATCAACACCATAAAATATCGAAATGGTCCACATGGTGGGGCTATCGGCCCACAAATATCTCCTTGAATCCTTTCTAAAAATGCAGGTGATTCAGTTGCAATTTTGTTCATAGAAGGCCTGATGATCATTTTGCCAAGAGAACAGGCCTTACAAGGAAGATCACTTGATAATGGAACCATGGTATTCTTTAATGGGTGTCCAAGTGAAGTCTTAATGATTTTATGCATCATTATCTGGCCTTTGTGACCTAAACGGTCATGCCACAACATGAATGTTTTCTGATTATCCAACTTTGTGTTAGAAACCAAATTTATTTCGAATGGACTAATATATGTGAAATATAGTCCTGAGGAACATGCTGACATTTTTTCATAAATATATTTAGTGTCTGATTTAGTTGTCGTAAGACAAAGATATTCTTTTTGGTTTTCATTCATGGTTTCTATGTGATAACCATTTTGACGCATATCTTTAAAACTTAATAAATTTCTCCGCGATTTGCTGGAGTATAAAGCGTCATTTATCATTAATTTTATCCCATTAGGGAGCATCATATATGCTTTCCCAAAGCCTTCAATGAGCTTTGCAACACCTGATATTGTATTGACTTTAGCTTCAACTAAAGCCATTTGAGAAAAATATATTTTATTTCTCAAAATGGTGTGCGTTGTAGCGCTGTCTATTAGACATAATTCTTTATCACTTGAGTGATCCATATCTGCAGAAGATGATGATTTCTTGAAGAGTTTGAGCTGATTCGTGCTGATAACGTGTTGTGAAATGAAGAAGATGGAGACTAAATTTATGAGATAGATATAAAAATAAAAGTCTGGATATTCTTCTTCTTCTTAATATGTGAGAAATTTTGAATTTCTGAGTGAATTTACAAGGCTTCATTAAGCTCCTATTTATAGTGTTTGAGTTTGATGATTAGTCACTTAAATGATGAGTCTACAGATTTGGTGGCAATAACAAATTGAGCCACCTACTCTAACTAGGTTACAAGGATCATTACAAGGATCGGGAACATCTTGATGTCCGAGTGACAAGGATGAACAATTCATACTTGTCAATTTGATGGTTTTACAACAATTTCTCTATAAATAGTCTTTAATTTACACTAGACGATGTACCCGTGCGATGCACGGGAATATCTAAAGTAAAATAGTTATTTAAAATTATATTTTATAATGATGACCTAAAATAAGTAATTTTTATATAGAAGAAAAATATAAAACGAAAAACATAAGTCGTATGAAGAATTGAAAGTAAATTTGACAAAAACACATGTTAATTGTAAGAATAAATAGTACCTGGCAATGAAAAAATCGTGATAGTACAATGTGAAGTGTTTATTTCGTTAGCCATCATCAAATTTTATAATATTGGACAATCCTTTTTCAATGTTGCATAAAAATTATCATAAGTTTTTTAGATTACATTTTTAGTGGCCAACACTACACAACTCTCATCTTTGCATATTAGAATTTTCTACTCACTTCTTGAGGTGGCTCTGGACATAAAAAGATACATATTGCTCTGCTTAAAAACAGATTTTGTAAGATAATGTCTACTTTATGCAAAGATTGTCCATGACTGGGAATGACCTACATTGAAACTTGATAGAACTTCTATTATGTGACTGACTGACGGGACCAAATTAAAGATAATCACGGGATTAAAACTTTTTGTCAAATATTTTTTCTGTATATAACTTTCGCCTCTAAAACATTTTACCCATGAGAAAGGTAAGGCATGTCCTAGATATTACATACTCTAGAAGATTGATCTATGTTTCTCATGAACATAATAGGAATTCTAATTACTTTGAATAATGAGGCGCGAGTTTAAGAAACACTTAGAATAAGGTGCTATATCTAATTAATTTCATGGAAAAATACAGTTTTTCAAGTGTTAAATAACTACTTCCATTGGTAACTGTTTTACTATTTAGTATTTACTTCGAAAGTTTGGTAGATAAAAGCTTTCCATGCTTTTTTATTCTAGATTGATAGATTACAATTAGGGCTGAGCACCGGTCCAAGACCGGACCGGACCGGACCGGAACCGGTTGGACCGGAACCGGAATTCACAAAAAAAGTGGACCGAAGACCGGACCTATATAATTCCGGTCCAGGACCGGACCGGACCGGATTATTCCGGTTTTTCCGGTCCGGACCGGTATTGGACCGGTTTTTTAATTTTATTTTTTATAATGTTTCATCTTTTTAAAAATAGGTTTGATTGTCCAAAAATGTACCTATTACCTCATTGTTTCTATTACGGAGTATTATTTTATGATGTTTATAAGTGATTATTTCTAATATATTCTTTATGTGTATTGTTTCTATGTCTCTTTTAATCAATATAATATACATTATAATACTTTGAATAAGTCGAAATAAACACATGAACTACGCCTAGTCGAAATATGAAAAATACGTGATACAATTTTGACTATAAAATTTTAGGCATGATCATATTAGTGCGGGAAACTAATGTTCCTTGCTTGATTAATTTAGTGAATGATTCGACTCAATAGATTTGCTTATTTAACAAAGAAGAATTCAATTAATCAAACTATATATTATAGTTAAAACAAGTAAAAATAAGTAAATACAATGCCCCATTCTACCTCTTAATGTTTTTATGCTACATAATTTTACTAGTATAAATGTGTAAATAATATTATGCATGTAACTTGAGTTAATGTATAAGTTATTGTATCATTTAATTAATGTACTTTTTAAAGTAAATTAATGTACTATGTATGTGTATGTGTGTACATTTTAAATACATATATAAATATAAATTAAATATAAATATAAATTTATGTATATATATTAACATATTTATATGTATAATAATTTAATTCCGGTCTAACCGGTCCGGACCGGAATATTCCGGGTTTTGGACCGGACCGGACCGGAACCGGAATCGCTAAATACCTTGGACCGAAGACCGGACCGGTAACTATCCGGTCCGGGTCCGGTCTGGACCGACCGGT